CTTGTCTTTTACAAAACTTCATACAATTGGAATCATGCAATACGTATTATTTTCTGTCTGTCTTTCTTTACTCTCTCTCTCTCTCTCTCTCTCTCTTGAAAGAGAAAGAGAGAGAGAGAGAGAGAGAGAGAGAGAGAGAGAGAGAGAGAGAGAGAGAGAGAGAGAGAAAGGCAGGCAAAAAGGGAAACAAGCAAGCTACTGAGTGGAGGAAGCCAAGAGAAAGCTTTTTTTCCTTCCCCCTCAGAGTGTTCTGAAGACACTGGGGACTCGAGTCTTTAGGCAGCTGGCCTCTGACCCCAAACTCATGGAGGACTTCAGCCCATAACTGGACCCCTGATTGTCCGAGGCAAGAAGAAACTCCACGGGGTTTCAAGGAGACCCAAGGAGATCACTTTCACTAGCGGCAGCGCCGCACTCACCTGTTTGAAATATTTTAAGGAGTACTGATACATGGGATCTATTTCTGAGGGCTCGCAATCACGAAGTACATGACGGAGCCTTGAGTGGCGACCGGCCGATACTTCTCTCGAGCAACGTTTATCATCACTTCAGTGGACTCTGCTTCCTTCAGCCTGCTTTTAATGGCACCAGAAGTGATCTGAATGAACACAGAAAACACGTTCTTAAGAGTCTGTTTTGTTGCTTTTGTTTCTTAATCAGGTGGGATTTGGGTATTCATTTCAAACGGGCCGGATCTGGCCCGTGGGCCGTAGTTTGCCCACGGCTGCTCTAGAATCTTACGGGTGGGAGTGTGAAGTGTGCAGAATGCTATACACTTTGAGTAATTCAAATGCAAACTAATGCTGTTTAGACTAGACAATGCTTCCATCATTTTCCAGTGGACTTGATTCTGCATAACTTCCTACAAATGCATCATAATACATTTCAGTGGCATTCAGATTCTTACTGGACACTTCTGTCAGGCTATCAAGCAGGTAGCTTAAATGTAATGCCTCCAAACTTAAATTTGTATCATTCCTCAAACCTGTTATTCTTTCCTTTCCTTATTTCAATAAATGCCATCACCATCCATTCACCCTTCTAAACATGAAAAAAAAAAAGGAAGAAAACACTTAGTGAGCCTTAACTAACCTCTTCTTTCACTCCTTACATCCAATTATGCCCCAGTCCTGATCATTGTCTTTGTTTGGGTTCTCTAAGAACAGACCCTGATCTAAAATGTTGAGTATAAGTTCATTTGGGAGGTGGTTCCAAAAAAGCAATGGTAAGGGTGTAGGAAAGAAATACAGGAAATGAAGGAAGCTTGCATTATTGAGTATCAAATGCAATATTGGGCAACTGAAGCTCAATGCCATTGGGAAACTCTGGGAGACAGAATAGAACATACCTCAGAAATGCTCCACCTGTGAGACTATGCAGCTTCCTATTTATCAATGGCTGAGGGCTTCTCCTATCAGATATTAATTTCCAAGTTCTTCTGGCCTGTCCCACATTTGGACTGTCAGGAAGTCCTCTGAGAGAATTGCAGATGCTTGCAACCAGAAGCCATCTGCGTGTTTTGTAAAGGTAAAGCTGAAGGGATATGGTTAGGGTACTGACAATATCTGGCGGAGCCTAGAGTTGAGTAGAGTGAGGGGTAGTGAGGCATTCATCTCAGGTGCAACATTTAAGGTGCAAAATTTACCTTGATTCTCTTTCCCCCACCCTATTCCTTCACACTTCCAGTCTTTGCTGGAGGAGTTAACTTTAAAAACACCAATTTGATCACATCTGTACTATGTTTAAAAAACACACATAGAATAAAGTCTAAACTCCTTAATTTAGCATGAGTAACTATGTAGATTGAAAATTTACCATGTGTGGACCCTGAGAAAGGGATACATACTAAGAAGGGCTCCCAGTGGCTTAACTGGGCTTTAAAAAAACCAAACACACACACACACACACCACCACCACCACCACCACCACCACCAACAACAACAACAACAACAACAACAAAACAAAACACATACAAAAAAACGGAGGCTAGCAGCCATTTCTAACCAGGGGCCTCTAATGCAAACAGCACTTGAGGGAGAAGCCTGCACTAAGTTGCCTGCAGCCTGCACTGAACTGCCTTTCTGCACTGTGTTTCTGCTATCTGAGCCAGCCCTGATAGAGGATTTCCTGGAATCCTATTTCAACCAATAGAACTGAGGCTTCCTCTTCCTCCCCCTCAGTTGGTTGTGCAGCTATATCCCCATCAACATCTTCACCACTGAATCAGAGCAGCTTCATTCTGACCAACCAGGACAGTGGTTTTTTGGGCCAATCAAACTGTGAAGATTTGGAGTCCTCATTTGCATGCAGACAGACCAATCAGGGACCTTGTATAGAAGTCAGCTCCCCTTTGGCTCTGGGAGCACTTTCCCTTTCCCCCAAAGACTGAAGACTATTTTCCCTTTTTTTGCTAAAACATGGAAGACATCCTGCGGGAGCCGAACAGACTGGTGCAGAGCAAGGCAGAGCAGTGTGGACCAGCGTGGACGGAGCTGACCTGAGCAGAGCAGAGCTGCCTTGCCCCAGGTCGCCCTTGTCCAGGGCCTCTTCTCAGCCATGCTGTTTCACAACTGTGCTGCTTCATAATTGAGCTATAACACTACTGAGCTGTTTTTCAGTGCTGTTTTCACAGCTGTACTGTATTACAATTGAGCTGTTTTGCACTGAATAAAGTCTCCTTCTTTACTGCACCCCAAATTACAGCTTCCTGTTAGCATTGAATTGGCACCAATGACTACTGATTGACATCTTTTACTCTCATTTTCTGCCACTTTCTTTTATAAAACTACTTGAGGCCCGGTGCATGAATTCGTGCATGATCGGGGCTGGGAAGGGACACGGGAGGTTGGCCAGCTGGGGTGGTCTGGCTCGTCTTGCTCAGTCCCAATCAGCCAGACCCCAGCAGCAAGCTAACCTACTGGTTGAGCATTTGCCCCATGGTGGTCAGTGCATGTCATAGCAAGTCCACAACTGCCCTCTTCTCCCGGTCACCCCCAACTGCCCTCCCCTGCCGGCCATCTTGTGGTGGCCATCTTGTGCCCACATGGGGGCAGCAATCTTTTGACCACATGGGGTGGCCATCTTGTGCAAGGGTGTGATGGTCAATTTGCATATTACCTCTTTATTATATAGGATTATATTTTGATTGGTTGAACGGCTGAACAGCCGATTGGACACTTAGCATATTAGATTTTTATTACATAGGACTAGAGGCCCGGTGCACAGATTCATGCACCAATGGGATCCCTCAGTATGGCCCGCACCCTCTCGCAATCTAGGACCCCTCTAGGACTGCCAGTTTCAACCCGATCCCCACAGGCCAGGCCGAGGGACCCCACTGGTACATGAATCCATGCACTGGGCCTCTAGTATGCATAGAAGATCTTTGGTTAATCTCTTCCCACCCTCCCCCTTTTCCTTCTGAGATTCATCAGCTTGTTTCATGTTTCCATGCTCGTGTGCTGAGCATCTTCTCCCTGGTGGTCAATGTGAGTCATAGCTACTGGTCAAACAGTCAAATGGTCAAACGGTCACTTAGGCTTTTATACATATATAGATGCTCTATTACATGAATGCTTCAAACACTTTTTGAACTTTCATATCCTCTTGTGTGTGTATTGTTCCTTCTGCCTCAAATAATCTTCCCCACACCTTTATACAAAAAGGTCTTACTAGTCCCTGAATACAGCTTGAAAACCTATTTTTCTGTGAAAAATTCCCCGATCTCTCTGGGAAAATATATTATTTATTCCGCTGTGTTTCTGAACATTTTGTATGTACCTCTACTTTTGCACTTTGCAAATTGAGTTGCATCTGTTTATTCACTAACCTGGGAACTCTTTAAAGGCAGGCCTGATTCATATTTTTAACCCCAGTGTCTACCTGCATATAGAAGACACCCAAAGAAGGCTTATTGAGTTGCATTTATCTGGATGTTTTCAAACAAAACAGATTTTTAAAGAAATGGAAGGATGCTTCTTAGCAATTTCAGGAGGTGGGACACTATAAGCAAAGAAAGCAGTCTGTGAGAATATACAATTGGGACCTATCAAATAAATCTAGTTTATATATGAACTGCTTCAAAAAGGCTTCAAGGCAGCTATTTTTAAGTGTTGGAATCTGTTGTCTCCAAAGGCAGTACTTTTGGTTAACTCAACTAAAACATGTGTTATGTTGATAAAAAGGTGAATACTCTAGCACATTATAAGCATAATATTTCAGATTAAAGAGTCGCTAGATTGTAACGGCCCCAGAGACAGAGACCATGAGTATAAAATTTACTTTCTACACAGCACAAACTAGACTAAACATACACAAACTCTTAAATGAATTTTGGCACAGAAGTGATTTTGATAATCTGTGGTTGAATCTATAGTCATTTGCAATGAAGTAGGGACCCGGTAATTATCCAATTTAATTCCTTAATATGAATAAATAAAACCAATAAATCACATTCCTCTCAGAATGCCCCTTCAAAGAAAAATGCTTTTTAGTGAGATTATTATTCTGTCAGCCTTTCTCACATGAATTAGGTAGCCATCAAAGTTTTACTTCACCTCCTCTTGATTGTTATTTCAAAAATTAATAAGGATGACAATGTTTTTAAAAATTCAATTGCATTACTATTGCTGGTGGGTTTGTTTGTTTTTTTAATGATAATAGTGATGATTACTGGGGTGAGTTTTCCTGTCTCCCTGAGCACTAGCCTAGCATTAATCTAGCTTTGGTCAGTAATAACAGAAATAACAGTATTACAGTTTGAAAAATTTAACAGTTGAGAACTCATTACCATTCAATAGAATGGTGGGATGTGGTGGGGGTCAGGGGAGATTTTGATTTTCCAGAGTACTTTGTGTTGCTTATTAATGTTGTCTTTCTCTCTTTTTGTTATTAATAATGGTCTGGTAATACTTTCCCCTACCATTTGATGATATTTTTTGCTGGTCCAGATGAGTAAGTCACCATCTCAAGAGGAACCCAAACCTGCTCAGGTACCTGGCCTAAATAGATGCCTAACCATTTAACCATGAGAGGATTTGAGACTAGTTTTCTTAGAAGAATTGAGATGAAATATCATACTCTATCATTTAATTAATTCTCTTTTTAGGTGAAGTATTCTGCATCAGATTTTAACAAAAATGCAAAAAAGGATCAACTAAAAAGCAGTGGCCTGCTTCTAGTTAGTTGATATTCCTCATCCTATATAATAAAAGGCTAATATGCAAATTGTCCTCTTGCAAGTTCGACCAACCGGGAGTTCAACCGCTCATTATAACATGTGCTGACCACCAGGGGGTGGTGCGGAATGAAGGGAGACTCCGGCCGGCAACTGGCAGCCAGGGGAGGGAAGGCCCCAGCCAGCAGCCAAGAGGCCCCAATCAGCCCTGATCGCTGGCCTGGGCTAGGGACCCTACCCGTGTATGAATTTCATGCACTGGGCTTCTAGTATATTAATGAGCCTGTTACTGTTTGAATTTGTTAACACACTACCTTGGTGTGATTTTATTTGGTATGATGTTTACTCATTATGTGAAAATTTTTAACATAAAAAGCTTGCTATACTAGAGTATAAGGTATTAGTTTATCGATAGTTCCTTCTGGATAACACTTATTAACACTGTTTCCATTTTAGGAAAATGGAGAAGAAAACAAAGAAAGGAAACAGGAAGCAACTAAAAGGAATGAGCCTATTGAGGTAGAATTTTCATAAAAAGTCAGATATTAATGCTGGAGAGTAACTTGGACAAATTAATTTTCTTATAAAAGGAGGAAAAGAAAAGATGTGGGTATTCAGACAGATAAATAAAATGGCAAATGGAAAATTAAGCTGACTCCTTTGAATCAGTTGTAGGATGCTTCCATAGATAAATTATTTGTGAAGAGCTATTATGAATTATATATAAAGATTGCTTTCTAAAATCAGAACTATTACCCTAAATACAATAACCACCAGTTTTTAGGGTAATTTCATGATCATTCTGTACTTTTCATGTTAATCATTTAAGTAACTTTGTGTTTAAATAAATACAAGACATATGAGAAAGCATTTTACAGTAAAGGGAAGCAACTGAAAATAGTTATATGGATTCACCATTAAGTTGATTAACATGAGTCTCTAAAATATCCTATTCTTCTTCTTTTCTTTTTTATTTTAAATATATTTTATTGATTTTTCACAGAGAGGACGAGAGAGAGATAGAGAGTTAGAAACATCGATGAGAGAGAAACATCGATTAGCTGCCTCCTGCACGCTCCCCACTGGGGATGTGCCCGCAACCCAGGCACATGCCCTTGACCGGAATCGAACCCGGGACCCCTCAGTCCGCAGGCCGACGCTCCATCCACTGAGCCAAACCGGTTTCGGCTACTCTTCTTCTTTTAAAAGTACATTGTCATAAATACAAAAAGCTATTTTGCCACTATTTAAACTAATCTTTAATTTCCTCAATTAAGATGAAATGTTTTCTTTCACCCACAAACATGGAAGATGATTCCAATAATAAAAGAAATATTTTCAAAAGTCTGATTGCACTATGCTGTGAATTATGTTTCTAGAAAGTATTGTATAAATTGAAATGTTAATGTACATGTAGCATAATATTCTTAGCATATTACTTTGTTAGCAATAGGAATATGTGCTTACACATTGAGCCAATACGTTTTATCTTGTGAATGCAGTAAATAGACTGATTACTATGTTGCTTCTAATATATAGCATTAAATCCTAGCAAAATTAAGTAGGAATGTTTGGCAACTACAAGGTATTTATCTACATTCTTTAATTGGGAGAGTTGATGCAACTTTGAAGAAGAGCAACTCATTTTGAAAGGCTTCTTTTTCTTTTCAGAGTTCACAGAGTTCAGCACTGAGTTCTGCATTAGATTTCGACAAAGATGGGGAAGAAGAAACAACAGATGAAATCAAATCTGAAGGTAGAGAACTAGCCATTTTCAATTGGTATGCTGTGGCAGGCACACTAACTAGTGTGCCACAAGAATTTTTAAAACATGCAATACTTGACAGTTTAGTTGGGGCACTGACCTCTTTTCCCTTAGATTGTCAAATTTAAAAAATGACAACATGACAATAGCCATCAGATGTGAATGAATCAAATTGTACCTATATTTTTTTGTCAAATTGGCAAAAATACTTTTGGTGCACTGCAGAATTTTAGTAATTAGCTTATGTGTGTCATAAATGAAAAAGATTAAAAATTGCTTCCTCTGCACAACAGAATTTAAAACTATTATGTAGTTTTTATTAGGGATACATTTCTCAAGATTTTTCCCTTTAAAAATATAATCCTAGGAATATTTTAAAATGCAGTTTGGAAATAGTTTGAAATGTATTCCCTTTAACTTCTATTAATACTTTTAAGGCAATATTATGATTATTCATCTTGTACTAAAAGAGGAAATTAGCTAAGATTGGGGACATACCAGAAAACCCATTAATCCTATATATCTACACTAATAAAAGAGAAAAATGGTAATTGGCATACGATGCTACCCTTTTCATTGGCTAATCAGGGCTATATGCAAATTAACTGCCAGCTCAGATGGCAGTTAACTGACAACAAAGATGGCGGTTAATTTGCATATGTAGGCACAATGCAGGGAGGCGAAAGGGAAAGCAGGAAGAAGCCCC